TAAAAGGATTCAGAACCTTTAAAAGGATGGCCAATCACATATTGATCCTGTTTCTTACAAACTGAAATCAGACAGACACATCATTACTCAGTCAGCAGTGGATGGATATTCTAGATTATTTCACATCAGCTAATGGTGATGATCCAAACTCCTTTATCCAATCAATTAATCAGCAATGCTCTTGTGTCTTAGATACAGCAGCCCCGGTTAAACAGAAGGAACAGTTCCTGAATAAATGCAATTATTTACAGCTTCAGAAGCAAAGCCGAGAGGGTTGGAGTTCCACTAGGTTAGAAGTTCATAGGCTGCATTTTAAGGAACTTCAAATATCTTTGAATGAGAAACTTCATGACTCTGTGAGGATCTCTGGAACTGCTCTAGACTGGTTTAGATCGTACCTTTCTAACAGAAGTTAGTGTCTTTGTAAACCATTCATGTCAGATTCTGAAGATCTGTTCCGTGGGTACCCCAAGGCTTGAAGTAAGTAGAGTTTGAAAACGTCCTTGATTGAGCAGAAAAGGAAGGAGTGGTTTTGGCAAAGCATGCCAAGAAGTGAGAAAACTTACAAAGCCAACAGGTTTCTTCATTGTTGACGAAGAACTTTGTGTGGTAACGGTTGACTCGGATACTGAAGAAAAAAACTGACCCCCTGATGAAGATTTTCAGCTGTCCAGTGACGCTTATTCTGCATACAACGACACAGTCTGTTCATCATTATAACTCTTAAGCAGCACACTCTGGGTCCCAAACATAGTTTCACCGCAGTAAAGGATATGGAGCAGTGTTCATTCATTATGACAAGGAATTTTTATTTAGTTTTATTCTTATTTTTGTTGACTAAAGTACATGCATTTTTCTTCTGAAGCAATAATTTTCAACTTGTGTAAAGGAAATATTAACTACTCCTACTTCAAACTGTAAAGAAATATGAAAAAATCACATTCACACTAATTATTTCTATAAGAAAGAAAGAAAGAAAGAAAGAAAGAAAGAAAGAAAGTGATCTTTTCTATAGCACCTCTGAAGATAAAAATCACGAGGTGTTTCACAAGAAACAAAAAATTTAAATTATTTTTTTTAATTATTAAAAATATGTTTAAATTACAAAATAATTGTGGTAAAAAATGTAAGGATAGAGAGATGGATTAACGAATTAATTAATTAAATGATTGATTGATTGATTGATTAATTAATTAAATAATTAATGCCTGAATGAATGAATGAATGAATGAATGAATGAATGAATGAATGAATGAGAAAGAGGGAAATCAATGCATCCCGGGAAAGGCAGAATAGGTAGAAAAGCTGAATAAGGAGAGGGTGGTGATGGTCACGCAAAAACCAGCCTGAACAGGTGAGTTTTCAGCTGTTTTTTAAAGGAGACCATTGAGTCCACTGATCTCAGGCTCAGGGAGAGAGAGGTCTAGAGTCTGGGGGCCACAGCAGCAAATGATCTGTCACCTTTAGCCTTTAGCCTGGTGTGCTGTAAGTAAGTAAATTTTATTTATATAGCACTTATCACAGACATAGAATTGCAAAGTGCTTCACATGGATCACAGCAGAATAAACATGATCTCAAAACAGAAATAGATTAACTTAAAAAAAATTTAAGTAAATCAAATAAACAATGATTACAAATTACAGTTAAATAAGAAAATAAAATATTTAGGTAAAATCAGCTTTAAATAAAAGGGTCTTCAGCTGTTTTTAAGTGTCCAGACTGTCCACTCTACGTAAGGATAAAGGAAGATTGTTCCAAAATCGGGGTTCAACAGTCTGGAAGGAGCGATCACCTCGACTTTTGCTTCTAGAAGGTTCTGGTGGGTGGACCTGAGGGCTCGGGTTGGACCATAAGGCTTTAACAGTTCAGTAATATAGGGAGGAGCTTGACCATGTAGAGCCCTGAAGGTTCTAGTCAGGACTCTAAAATGAACTCTAAAGTTAATGGGTAACCAGTGCAGAGACATCAGAATAGGAGTGATGTGTGCTCTTCTGTTTGCTCCAGTTAGGAGCCTCGCTGCAGACTTCTGGACCAACTGAAGGTGGTCAAGGGCTTTTTTGTTAAAACGTGAAGAGTGTGTTACAGTAATCTAGACGGGAGGAGATAAAGGCATGGGGAACCATTTCAAGTTCATGTTTTGACACCAACTTTTGCAGTTTGGAGACAATTCTTAAGTGATAAAAACAGTTTCGGACCAATGATATTTTGCCAGACTCTTGACATATCCAAGGCTGATTAAAAAAAAAATGATTTCAGTCACTCAAAATATGTTTTATGTAAAATATCTCCTCTTTTGTCTGTTTTTTTCCTGAAAAAATTAGCATCACATAATCAAACTGGCATATAAAGGGTTAAAATGTATATATATATATATATATATATATATATATATATATATATATATATATATATATATATATATATATATATATATATATATATATATATATAGGTCGAGTCAGAGGTGGTGCAATTCTGCGACAAGCAGCAATGTTGGATTTAATAAGCCACAGCAGCAGAAATGAGCCCTCATGCAGTTAATACGCTACACTGTGGGGTGGCAGACACCTGTAACTTCAATCCAAGCAGCATTTGTGGGTGTGTTACTATTGAAACTTTTCGAGTATTTAGAGCTTGAACCCCGCCCACCAGTCGCAGTGTCGCGGAGGTTGTCAGGGCGAGTGAGAGCGAGCGAGTGGTAGAGGAAAAAAACACACAATGCCGAGAGGAATGTTCAGTGCTGACGAAGCTCTTCGTCTAGTACTGGTAGATTCGGATGATCTGCGGTCTTCTAGCGAGCTGGACAGCGTGGCTTCAGCGCACAGCAACAGGGAGTCTGTCAGCAATGACGCATTTCCACAAGCAGCCCATCCAGCCCTTACCTTGTCTGATGTCCCGCGTCACCTCCGTGGGGAGGGATGTGGTGGCGGTGATCGGGCCGGTGAAAACTCTGCTGGTGATTGATTCAGCCCTGGGGGTGTAATCCGCGGGAATTGGAGCCGGAGTGGGAGAGACTGCGGGGTCGGGGAAAGACAGGTGGCGAGGGGGCGGGCTCAAGCAGCTCGAACCTGGTCCGTGGCGGGGGGAAGGGGGGGGGGGGGGGGGGTGATGGGCCGGTGAAAACTCTGCTGGTGATCGATTCAGCCCCGGGGGTGTAAACCGCGGGAATTGCAGCAGGTCGGGGAGGAACCGCAGGGGGAAAAAATCACTGGTAGCAGGGGGATGGCCCAACACAGCCTCAGTGACAATAATAATGATGATGGCTGGGTTAGTTTGGGAGAAGAGGAACAGTATTCCAAGTGGATCAGGCATTTTGATGAGCCAGCTGGATACTGTGGAGACAGGGATCTGTCAAATTCAGAACACATTGATTTTCTGTCAGTGTTTTGGGATGAGGAATTCTGGACCCTCATCAGAACTGAAACTAACTGATATGCTCACCAGTATTTAGAGAGGGAGGAACTGACATCTAGCTCCAGATATAATGACTGGTACGATGTAACTGTCCCAGAAATGAAAGCGTTCATTGCCATTCAGTTCTGCATGGGGCTTGTGGAAAAGCCTAAGATTGAGGATTATATATATATAATAAAAAAAATAAACCAAAGAAGGGATGAGTGAAATGTGTTCATGACGCTGAAGCACCAAAAACAGTGTTCTTGATTGATATGCAGTAAACATAACAAAATACCAATAAAGTAAAAAATATTCTATATATACATAGTTGTATATGTCTACATAGGAATATGTATATTTGTATCATAAACAATAACAACACCAAGAAAATAAGACAAAAGCATAAAAAAATCTGCAAATTTGATGCAATATGGCTGCAAAATGATGAAGTCACAATATGCAAATTATGTCAGTGAATTTGTTCCTATCACAAAATTTGGCTCATACTGAAGATTTTTCTAATTTACATTATTCCTCTATCTCTAACCGCATTTAAGCTACAAGCTCTTTAAAGGGACTTTGCGGAGTTTTGAATTTTTGTGCTCACGATTGCCCCCTCAGGCCAAAAGTGTAACGGCAGCTTCAATAATAGGCTCGTGCACGAGGCGCGCATGCTGTACGTGCACACTCCTTAACAAAAATAACAGCTGAGTTAGTCCCTTGTGTGTGTGTGTGTGTGTGTGTGTGTGTGTGTGTGTGTGTGTGTGTGTGTGTGTGTGTGGCCTGGAGGACAGAGGACAGCAGCTAATTAATTAAATAATTTGGTTCTGTACCTTCCTCTTCAGCACAGCCGACAAAGGTTTATGGGTCAGTTCTCCTGCACGCTCAGATCATTCCCTTCCCTTGCTTTGAAAAATTGTTCCAAAATGAAAGTTGAACCCACATATTTTTTTATCTGTGAATTCAATGCCGTTCGGCGAGTCTCAAATAAAAATTTGGGCATCTTACTGTAAAGAAAATATGCCATTAATGTAAAAAAGAAACTCTTATTAAACTATGTTCACATCCAGAATCAAACCTGGGTCTACTGCACGAAAGCCCGACGTCTTACTAGGCGAGCTAAAGCACCAATGATGTCCTTTGTATCTGTAACAATTATATCCTTGATTACAGCTGAAACAACGTTCAAAGAACGGTTTGGAGATCTATGCCTGAGCGTGAACGCGCATGAAGCAGCCTGCTTGACCCGAGCAGCTCTCTTTTTCTGTGATTTTACAGAAAAACAGGCAATCACAGTAAAAATGCCAGGGCTCATTTTACAGGACCAGGGCATTGCAGGAGAATGTATTAAGAAGAAATTTATTATTTTATACATGTTTTGGCTGTCAAACTTCCATAATGCCCCTTTAAATAGTGATATAAAAAATTTATATTTTAATGAAAAAACCGGCACCTAAAGGGTTAAAGGAAGTTATTCTTTGCAGCTGTAACACACTCCTAAAGTTTATTGGGTTACTCAGTCCCCAAACACTGTGCAGGGATAAGTAAAACATAATAATGCAAATAAGAATAAACAAATGTCTCTATCTCTTACTTCCCTCAGTTCGTGTCGTCAGGAGTCAGAGGTGGTGTGAGATGACTCCATGTTTGGATGATGAAGGATGTAATCTCCTAGTAAATCAGTCGGGCTGGACTTGCACACAACCAGGAGGTCGAGTCAAAACCACCACGGTGAGGCCAAAACATCTGCCATGTTAATTTCACATCTGCAGAGTTCTTTAATTGTTAACTCTGAGTGTTTATGTAAGGTTTTGGGGATTTTTGGACCCAAAGATTCAACCAACAAAGAATGAAACAAATAAATGTTTTCTTAGTGAGCTTGAATGCCAAAGTACTGGAGAGAGGCATGGCGGGCCTTGGCTTGACTCGACTTGACTGGACGTAACTTAACTATGGGTTGACTTGACTTGTCGTGACTTATAGCTTAATGTAGCTTGACTATACTTGACATGGCTGGACTAATCTTAGCATAACCTAGCTCAGCATAGCTAGGCCTGATTCAACACAACATGCACACTTGATATAACTTGAATAGCTTGATTTCAGTGGATGTTTCTTGATTTAGCATTTTTATGTTTTTTTTTCTTTTGTGTGTGACATAAAGCTGCTTTTGCCTGACTTGACTTGAATTGACTTAGCTTGGTTTGAATTCACACAATTTTACTATAGCTTGACTTGGACTGACTCAATTCTAACTTGGTTTGACCAAGTTTAGCATGACTTTGTTTGCCTGGAATTGCTTGACTTATGCTGATGAAGGTTCTCAGTCATCCAGGTAATGGTAATCCAGAAGGGTTCAAATGAAAGCAACTGGACTTCTTTGGTTTCTTTTAGATGTTTCGCTTCTCATCTGAGGAGCTTTGTCAATTCTGACTGGAATATGGGAAAGTCAAGTTTATAAGCTATAGCTGTCTGTTGTTATTTAACGAACAGAAACTACTCTGAGTCCTACTCAAGGCAATTCTGAGAGAAGATGAGGAAGTTGAAGACAAACAAGGGCAAGGACGCTCTTCGCCGGATCTCACAGGATAGTTAAGATTCCTCCAATTCACCCCGCCAATACGATGCCTCCGTTTGGATCCCTAACTGATAGGATCACTGTCCTGCCAGTGGAGAATCTGGATGTTGTGTTCCGAGGGATCATCAGGGAACCAGGCCCAAACCTGAGAAGAAAAGTTGTCACTGGACTGGCACATCCGGGAAACTCGGAGCTGGACGTGAGCACCACTACGCCTGCCGTGCCTCCTGCCGCATTGCCGCCACTTCCACTGCAGCCCCGCCAGGCCGCAGGCGGAGGAGAGAAGGAAGGGTGGAACTCCATCAAACAGGTTCCCAAGCGATCGTTTGAATGAGGCATAATGAAATTGGAGAGACTCGAACCTCTGCCGGAGATCCAAAAGAGCAGCTCGATCATAGGTGGGACAGGAATCAGCCACTGGGAGGCTCAAACCATTTATGGCAGAAAGTGGGTGTGTTGAGGGCGGGATGTGATCCAAAAGCAGCTGAGAACCTTTCTCGGTAGTTTCTGATTTATGAAGCGAATATTGCGTGCAAGTGTGCATACTCCATTATTTGTAGGTCACTAACCACAGCACATTTTTTTGCTGAGTACAGTTTTAATAAGGATTCTATGCAATGTTTTATAAATGAGACCCCTGGACAGTCCTCACTACATTGGACTGCATTAACGATGCCACTGAGCTTCTGTTTGGGTGTTTGGTCTTTAGGATGCACCAGTTTCTGTCTGAGGATGTCATTGGGTCTAAACTTTACCGGGATGTTGCGTTTGGAGAAGATTCTTCAAAGTTTTGGGTTGGGGGGGGGGGGGGGGGGGGGATAAACAGTAAAATATCAGAGTAATTTTTGTGGGGACATAAAGAAAATGCGTGCATGCTCGATTCATTTTTACAACGCCCGTTAGAGACCAAACTCATGCCATCCAGCCCGACCAAACCCCGAACGTGCCGATGTGTAAGCATTAGTCTTCCAACGCAGAGAATTTTTAACAGGGACATTTTATTGGGAAGTTAACAAAATTTATCAGAGAAAAATCAGTTTTTCAGTATCTGTTCAACAAGTGGTGTGGTTATTATCTTACTCACTGTTTCTCACATCCTACTCGCTCCCAACTCTGGGGACATCGGAGCAGTGGTGGGCCTTGTTTAAGTTGAGCAGCGCCTCGCTTGGAAAGCAGACGAGAGCAGACGGGCGCAGCAGTGGGAGTGGCTGAAAGTCAGCATTTAAGTCGGACGGATTTCCCTACATGTAGCTCACGGGTGACGATGGATGAAGATATCGCGTTAGAGTTCATACTTGTTTAATTATTTATTTTAATTCTGGTGCCTGTTAGCAGCTGAAACACATCCTCACGTGCTTGTGGATATCATATATTGTATATGAAGACATGACTGTAATAATAAGTAAAGGTTATCAGCTAAAGGTTTAGTGTGCTCATAGGAAACGTGAGAAAAGAAAACAAAACACATTTCTCTTCATGGCCTATATAGTTGTCATCATCAACGTAACATGATTTACAGAATACATGTGACCAACTAACATTTCATGTTCTACCACCGGATGTTTGGATCAGAATATGAACCAATCAGATCTTAGATCAGGTGAGAGCGAGGCGTTTCCCGTCATCCCCTAGGTTTTGCAGGCGAGGGAGAGCAACTGCAGCGCCTTGCTCCAAAATCTGTGGCCGCCTTGATCTCACGAGGTTATCGTTGCCTACGTAGGCATGACGTCAGAGCAAGTTGGCGTCAACTCAGACACAAATCTAACCGGCATGCACTGCGCACAGATCACCGCTGATCTAATCTGCACAGAACTGGCTCATCTCGAATAAGGCCACAGTCTTGCCTTCAGAGCAGCTTGTGAACTGTACCAATTTGAGGATTAGTGGAGGGGGAGTCATAATCTTTGAATGAATAAAAACTAGGGGTGAGACTCGATTAAAAAATGTTATCTAATTAATTAGAGGCTTTGTAATTAATTCATCTAAATTAATCGCATGTTAATCATTCAGGGAAATGTGCCCTCAAAGCAAAACATTTAATTAAAATTATGAGACAGAGAATCAAACATTAGACATGGTTCTTACTGTAAATTAAAGCTTTTAATTTTTAAAAAGGAACAGGGGAAGATATTCAAGCAGGCCTTAGTGAGCATATCTGAAAGAGTGCACGGGTCCTGACTGTGGTTTGTGCTTATGCACCAAACTACAGTTCAGACTACCCACCCTTTCTGGAGACCTTGGAGGGGTGCTGGAGAGTCCTCCTTCTGGTGACTCCCTCATTCTGCTGGGGGACTTTAACGCGCTCAAGATTCAGTTCAATTCAATTCAATTTTTTTTATAAAGTGCCAAATCAAGACAAGAGTTGTCTCAAGGCACTTCACATAATAAACATTCCACTACAGGTCAATTCATTAAGCCAGTCAGAAAAAAGTTTCCTATATAAGGAACACAGCAAATTGCATGCTAAGCAAGCATATAGCGACAGTGGAGAGGAAAACTCCCTTTTAACAGGAAGAAACCTCCAGAGGATCCTGGCTCAGTATAAGCAGCCATCCACCATGACTCACTGTAGATCGAGAAGACAGAGCAGGCACACACACACACACACACACACACACACACACACACACACACACGCACACACACACACGCACACACACACACACACACCATGTAATGTGTCTATGGTTACATTGTGATTTCTCAGTAAATATTCTGTTTGGTGAGAGATAAACTTTATTGTATTTATCCTAGTGAATCTATAATTAAACGGGTAAACTAGTAGTAGCACATTCACTGTCAAAGAAAGTAAAGTGTTATCATCAGGAGAGGGAGAATGTTTAAATGGTTAGCAACAGTGTGCTAGCCGATGGCCCCCTCCATGAGGACACCACAGCTCAGCAGAACATCATTGTAGCTTCTTCTGGGGAGAAAAACTCTTAAAGAAAAAATAAAGTTAACAACTAAAAAAGCAGGAAATAATGCAGTTAAAGAGCAAAATGTAGAAGAAAGTAGTAGAGTGTGAAAAGTGGTCAGTGTATGCTCCAGCAGCAAGGGCGTCATTTTGTTTTCAGAATTGCTGGGGACAATAACCATACACTTGAGTGGTGTTTAAAAATTGCTGGGGACAATAAAGTAGGCTAGCACAGGGGTCGGCAATCCGAGGCTCTGGAGCCGCATGCGGCTCTTCCATCCATCTGATGCAACTCTCTGTGCTTGTAAAATAATAAATGGATATTTAAATAAAATGCTTTATATTTTACTGCATTAATTTTACACCTGTATGCCAATTCTAAATGTAAAGATTGTCTGCGTAAACCTGAACAGGTCCAACCCGGTCTGCGGTGGTTGACCGGTCACGCTTGTGCGTAATCATATAGGCACTTTATGAGCTGAAGAGGATGTGAGATTCTGGGCTTCTCCTCAGACGGCTCCTGGATGTGTCGCCACATTGGAGCCAGGAACAAGCGCTATTCAGCCAAAGTTTCATCATCAGGGAACATTTTCTAAGTGACAAGTCTCTCTGAGAGACAGGGTTTGGAAAACACTCGCTTCAGTGGGAGGAATCTTCCCGCATGCCCTCTGGGTGGCTCTGGGGTTAATCAAGTTTAATTGTTTCTCTTTGCAACAATCTTCACAGGAAGGCAAAACAGTTAAACGGCAGGTTACATATATTTCCATTTGACTGTTTATTTTGACAGATGTACTCAAGGATGTTGCTTGGTTTGAAAAAATTACCCCGACGCACACGGATGCTCATGGATGAGCTGACATTTTAATCGTTAACGCACACGCGGAGGTAAAATATTCCCATCAGAACATCAGAGCTCTTTATACTGGACACTGTGTTCAGCGCGGCTCGGAGCGCCCCCGGTGGACAGTGAGCTGAAGATCTGGGGTTCGCAGTGCAGCGCAGAACCACGCGCATGCGATGATTTCCTCCCACTGAAACAGTCTGGAAACCCGGTCTCTCTGAGGGATTTGTCACTTGGAAAATGTTCTTTTTATGAAATTATGAAACTTTGGCTGAACAGCGCTTGTTCCCGTCTTCCGCATGAAGCGTAGAGACATTTGATCACGCACAAAGTTTATGTGGAGCAGAAGCGGTCGGGCCACGGCAGGTGAAATGTTCCTAGCCTACATGAAGGGAAAC